CAGCACTCGAGGGGCGGCCCCCCCAGTGCCCAGCACAGGGGCACGCTCCCTGCCCTGCTCCTGCTGGCCACACCACTCCTGATCCAAGCCAGGATGCCGCTGGCCCTCTTGGCCACCTGGGCACCCTGCTGGCTCATATTCAGCCGCCTCTCGACCAACACCCCCAGGGCCTTTTCCACCCGGCAGCTTCCCAGCCATCCTGTGCTGCTTCTGCCGCTGTCCTCACTCAGAAGGCTAGAGAGGGGCGATGTGAGGAGGGCTTGAAATTACTGGTGGGGCTTTCAGGGGTGCTGGCAACAGAACAATTCAGAACCTGCAGCTGCTGGCAGCAGGAGCCAGTGAAGCCAGCCTGGAGAATTTCACAGCCTGGCCCTACAGCTCTGAGAGGGTCCTCGACCTTCCTTTTGGCTGCATGGTCTTTTCTGACACTGTCAAGGTGGATCTCATTGCAACACCACTCAGCATCTTTGCCTCCAGTCCAGGCCTGGGTCCCTCAGCTTTGTCCAGCTATGGGCAGTGACAATTCACCTCATGCCACAGACAATGCATGTTTTTTACCAGAACTTGAACAAAACAGGTTTTAAGCAATGGAATTGCCTCATCACTTGGTCCATCCAGTCTTTAGCCTCCAAGATTGCCTAGTAGGGTGGTTGGAGTGCTAGAGATGGGTTACTGTCTCTGGAGATGAGCCCAAACAGGCCGCTTAACAGCTGGGGCATGACCTACCTAGAGGGGAAGTTCTCATCTATAGCAGGAGTCTCATCTCACCTCAAATTCCTGGAAAAAAGCGTGGTTAGCACTTGCTGTCTTCATCTCATAGTACTGCTTGAAGTTCTGTACGGGAATTGGCCGATGGACATTTCTGCATGAAATGAAGTCCAGAGGAAAACTTGCCTTAGCTATGGGGAGGTCTGGCAGGTCAGTCAGGTGGCCAGTGAGACAGCCCAGCCTTGAGACCTGCATACCTGGATGCACACACATAGGGATGGTTTACAGCCCGCGTCATTGCCCGGGGAAGTGGGTCCAAGAGACCATTGTTTAAATATTGGGAGGGATTTCAGGATGGTGAGGATATTCTCCTACTGCAGAAACCTTGCAGAGGAGATGTGGACAATGCATTTCCACTTCCATTGACTTGGAATGGAGCTGGGCAATAAACACTGAACATGGGAAAGCCTAAAATTTAAAAAAATAACTGAAGGAGAGGAGACAGAGTTGGATTTTTCCTGAGTCAAAGCACAAGAAAGGAAGGAGGCGAAGGACTTTGGGACCTGCAGTGGGGACACGCAGAGAGGAAAGACTCCAGCGCTCACCTCAAGCTGTAGGTCACCATCTCTTGGGGCAGGCTGCTCTTCTTGCTTCTAGAAACAAAGCACAGGAGATGTTACTCCTCCCTGCAGCGCAGGGACAGATGCTGTGAGCTCATGGAGAGCCAGGCACGCTGCCTCACCCATGTGTAGGGTCCTGTGCATTAACTGCGCCCCAGCAGCTCCCCTCCCTCCTCTGCCTTTTGCTTTTCACAGAATCACACAGAATCCCAGCATGGCAAGGGTTGGCAGGGCCCTCGGGAGCTCACCCAGTGCCACCCCCCTGCCCAAGCAGGCTCACCCAGAGCAGGGGGCACAGGACAGCGTCCAGGCGGGGGTTGAATATCTCCAGAGAAGGAGACTCCACAGCCCCCCTGGGCAGCCTGGGCCAGGGCTTGGGCACCCTCCAAGTCAACAAGTTCTTCCTCACATTCAGCTGAAACCTCTTGTGCTTGAGTTTGTGCCCATGGCCCCTTGTCCTGGTGCTGGGCACCACTGGGAAGAGTCTGGCTCTGTCCTCGTGACCCCCACCCTTGAGATATTTGTACGTGTTGATGAGATAGTTCTGTGCCTGCCAGGCACAACTCCACTAGTGGGTGTCCTAGTTTGCCCAAATCTCATTTTATACCCTCTCACTGCTCTTCCTCCTGGCCTGCCGCTGAAGGTTGGGTGTCTCAGCCTGCACCCACCACGCAAGAGATGGCTCACCCTCACCTTTTTGCTCTGAGCTGTTTCCAGTAGACCAAAGCAAAAATAGCTGCAAGCGTCAAGAGAAATCCCACAACGATTCCAGCAATTGTCGGCATTGAGAGTGGAGTTGTGTCTGCACCAGATCCAGCAGCTGGCATCAAAGAGAGAGAACGGACAGGGGTAAGAGCCAGTAAATGGCGGCATTTAGTCCATTTATTATATTTGCTGCAGCCCACAATCTCCCTCTGGCTTGTGGCTGCCAGGTTGTCCATTACCTCTAACCTGCACGGCCAGGCAGGGAATATGGCATTCTCCGTCTTACCTGAGAACATGGTGAACGTCACTGCAGGGGCTACTGGGTCGTATCTGGTGAAGGCAGCGATGCTGAACCTAGGGCAAAGCAGAGCCCTGCCGTCAGGGGCGATCTGGGCTGAGCGCAGCACCCATGCCCCCAGCAGCAAAGGCCCAAGGGAACAGGGCAGCTGCCTCTGCTCTGAAACGCTGCCTTGGAAGAAGCTGGTGTTCTGGCAGGGGCTTAAGGAATGTGTGGAAATAGTCTCTTCTCCCTTTTCTGCCTCCTGGACAGACATGGGGAAGGACAACAGTAAGTAGGGAAAATCAGGTTGGGTTGACTTGAAAGAGCCGAGCCCGGGTGACTGTTTGAAATGGGGGCACCTCAGCTGGGAGGGCTGAGCCCCGACCTGGACCCTTCCCCTCACAGGCAGAAGTAGCTGGGGCTTCCTCTTCCCTGTGGGGGTCTGCCCCGTACCGGCCTCCTCCTGGGAGGGTGCACACCAAGCCTCACAGCGCCCTGCAGGGATGACTTCCTTCCCAGCAGGCAATCTGGAAGGGTAGGTCCTCTTCTGTACTAAATGCAAGCTAAGGCTTTCAGTCATAGCTTTGGATTTTAGCAGCCAAGAGTTTGTGGCGCCCAGCGTGAGTCCCCCTCCGGCAGCGCCCCGGACCCGGCTGCCAGGGCAAAGACCTCTTTGGGAACTGAGTCTGCAGATGCCATGGCAGGAGAGGTAAGGGCTTGTGGATAAACAGCTTGCTGAAGGTGGGCAGCGAGGGCTGGCTTTCAGCACGGAGGTGGGCTGTCAGAGGTACCTGCTTCTCCCCACACTACTGATGACTAATGAGGACAGCAGAACAGCTTCTGGGTGCATGTTGCGCAGGGTAGCCAAAGCGAAGGCAAGCTCTGAAGCCGTGCAAAAGGATCTTCTAGTCCCGAGCAGCTGGGCAGTGAAGTACGTGCTGTTGAATCACGGTAGCTGGGCTGATGGCATCCTGATGGCTCTGAATTCGCTGCTTCCCCGGGGGAGGTCGATGTCCAGTGAGAGTGGGACGGAGGGCAGTTGTACACTCTCAGACTGGCTGGACAGTGTTTGGGGTGGAGGGGTACCCTGCTGGGTTTGTGCTTTTCCTAAACTCCCCTCAAGGCTTCCGGCAGCTGCCAGAGACGGGTCAGGCAGATCTTGGTCTGGGCCAAGGCGTTGTAAGGCAGACCCAGCTTGCACCCAGGCTGGCCCGTGTGGCAGCCTGGTCGGCTGGAGCAGAAGGCCAGATCTGAGGCTGCTAGGGTTAAGCAGTAAGGCTTGCCCTGAGAACGAGTTGGGCAGGAGCCATTAGCAATAACTAGATGAGCTTGATGGGCAATCTCAGACCTTCTGAATGGATTGGAGACTCTCCCATGCCAGCCCAGGGATCACAACACCCGTGGTGGGGATGGGATGCGGATGTCTCATCATGCAATTCTCCTGCCAGGCATGACAAAACAGTACCTAGGGAGAGCCCAAAGAGCTGTTTGCTCCTGACAATCCTGCTCTGGGTGGGATTTCCAAGGGAATGGCTCTCTGGAAACTCCCTTTTTTTCCCAGGAGAAGTAGCCATCTCCCCCTCCCCTGGCACAGCCCAGTGTCAACGCTGATCGCTGTTCATGTGCAAATCTAAAGCGACTCCATAAGGATCAATGTCAGTTTTTCATGTAAGCACGGAGTCTGCACATAGCAGAAGCAGAGAGAGTGAAGCAAAAAGAAGACAGGAAGGGGAGCCAGCAGGTCTGAACCCAACACCAGGGACCTTGACTCCACTCACCACAAAACTTAAGGGCAGACCTAACTCCCACTGAACTGATAGGGAGAAGTGAAGCTCGCTGTCACGCACGCGCTCTCTCGTGCTCCTTCTCTTTTCCCAACACCCCCAGCAACTTCCGTCACTTGTCAGCCACCCGTGCTGTAAGTTTCTTTAAACTGAATTGGGACAGCCCTCCAGATTCCAGGGGATCCCTTTGCCAGAGGAATGCCCGGGGATATGGTCCCTGTTTGGTGAAGTTATGAGCTGCTGAATTAACAGAGGACTGGCTAAAGGTACGATTCTTTGTCTGTAGCAGAAAACCTGTTTTACCATCAACTATTTTAAAGGCACCCTGTAGCAAAACAGTGTGCTCATACATTCATGTTCCTGGATTCTATCTGCTGTCAAATACGGCCCTGAATCTATGAATATTGAGGTCCGTGTGTCTGTCTCAGGGGAACTCGGACCTTGGCCTGTGCGTTTGCCACCCTCAACCTTTGAGCCCCCAGCTGTGCAGGCACCACCTCAACCCATGTTTCTGAATTAGTTTCGGTTTTGCACTCCCTGAGGCTGCATGTGGCTCCGAGTCCCGTGCAAACCCCTGCAAATAACAGCATCTGGCTTAGTTCTTGCCCTGGAGGTGGACAACTGCCCAGCTCCTAGGGCAACTCATAGAGCCCTCGTCAGCCTCAGCTTTCACTTCTGCTCTCCCGCTCCCTGTCCACTTATGCTGTAGAATTCCCAGGTATTCCAGCCCCTGCATCCCTCAAATGCTGCCTGGTGGGGCAACCCCTGGGGTCCACTGCTGGGGCTCTGGGGAGCGCGAGGGTGAGGTGGCATCCAGGGAGCCGGTGGCACCTTGCAGGGACACCCACAGTCACTTTTATCCTCCAGCCCCTTCCCTGCGGGAGGGATGCTGACACCTCACCTGTACTGCTCGTTGGCTTTCAGCTTCCCGTTGCACGTTGCCCTGGACTGGCCGCACTCCTCTATTCCCACCGGCACTCGCCAGGTTTCGGGGGAGCTCCTGGGGCTCGGATGGAAGGGATTGGGGATTAGCACAGCCAGGTAGGAGTCCTCTGTCCCATAATAGTGGTCATACCATGTGCTGGACATGATGTCCTGGGTGGGCCTCAGCACTGAAGGGGAATGGATGCACAAGGTGAGAGTGGCAGCCCAGAGTGACGCCCCGGGACCTGCTGCCCTCCGGGGAGCCACTGGGGATCAGGATGTGCAGGGGCACTTACGTGAATCATTAGTGGTAGCAATGACACCATAGTACTCAATCTGGCCGTTCTCCTCGCTGAACAGGTCGGATGAAATGATAACCGTGGAGCTGGCCTCCACCTGGAAGATATCTGCTCGCAGGGGTGGAGGCAGGGCTGGAAGAGGAACCAGCAAGCACAGCCTGTTAGCGTGTCCTGCTCCCACAGACCCACCCCACACTGCTCAGCCTGTGACTGGTCCCAGCATCGCAGAGCCCTGACCCACTGCAGTTCAGTGCAGGACCACAGGCATCCAAGAGTCCCCACATCTAATCAGCAATACTGGGTGTCTTCTCCTGGGGCCTGTGGCAAGGCTGTGGGAAAGAAGGGGACTCACCCTCCACTGTTGTGTTGCAGAGCAGAGTCACAGCCCGGCTCCTCACTGTGTTCATGCCCACTGTGCTCACAACAATTCGGTACGATGAGTTTGGCCTCAGCCCCTCCAGACTGGCCTCGCTTGTAGGGATGCTCATGACATCCTTGGAGGTGGGAGGTCCATCAGAGAGTCTCTCTGTCACCACCTCATAAGCCTCCACATCTCCAGGAGAGCTGCTCCAATTCAAGTAAAGGCTCCTTGGCTCCGGTAGGCATCTCACACCCTCCACTGGGTTTGGCTCTGCAAAGGAGATGGGGCAGACCCTGTACTTAATGGGTCAGAGAAATCCCAGCCTCACCCCATGCATCAGCCCAGAGCCACTGTGGTCCTCTACTGCCTGCCCCAAGGTCCACGGGAGAGGAGCAGAGCCGGACACCTGTGACCCGTGAGCCTTCTCTGCCAAGGGCCACAGGACAAGGCCAATGGGTCAGGGCCTGAGCAGACGCCTTATAGGCGAAGCAGACCAATGGAGACCTCTGCAGAGTCCACTTTGCTTCACAGGGAGCCAGGCCATGAGGTGATGGCAAATCTCAGTGATGGGGCTAGCTTAGGGAGCTGGTGGCTACCAGAGGGTCACCTTGCTGGTTTGCCTTTCCTCCCACCCTGAAGACCTCCCATGGTTCTGTTGAACCCCAAGGGCTGATCCAGTCTTGAGCCACCCAAGGTGTTTCTCCCCCTTCCAGCCTGCACTCCCCCCGTCCCCTCGGCAGCGCATACCCACCCATCGGCACCGCCAAGGGTTTGGTGCTGCTCCAGTAGGGCCCGGCCACACAGCTCAAGGAGACAGAGTAATTCCTCCCTGGGACCAGCCCCTGGAGGAGGTGCTGGACCTGCCCTCGGCCAAGGGGGTGCCGCCAGGGCAGCGTGCTGTTCCTGGGGTCCCGCAGCCACAGCTGGCAGTCGTCCTGCTGTCCAGAGACACTGCGCCAGGAGATGAGCATTGTGTTGTTCCCTTCAGCCACCGCAGAGAGATTTTTGGGAACTGAGGGGGCTACAATGAAAACCAGACCAGGGGAGAGTTACTGGCATGCATGTACGCTCCTCCAGCCTGCAGAGACACGAGCAGAAGATAGGTAACATGCAGGGACAATTCATGTGTTCAGTGACAATATTTCTGCAGGTGCTGGCTGCCACTGCCAGAAATGACCTTTAAATGGCAATCGGAGGACATGCAGAGAGAGCAGCACAAGGAAGTGGGTTCTTCCTCCTGCTAATTAGCATTTTTCATTAGAGACCTGCCTGAGGGCTCTGCACATGACTCCCAGCACTCTGCCAGGGGCTGGCTGAGCATGGGAGCAGAGACCTCTGGATTCCCCAAAACAAAGTGCAGGGACTGTGGGGACAAGCACATGAAAAGGCTTATTGTGCTTATCTGCAATTTCCACATTCCTAAAAAAAAAAAAAAGCCCAGCCTCCCTTTATCCCCCATGCCAGGAATTTTCTGAGTGCCTGGGAGAAAGGCACAGTGGGGTGTCCCCCCCGGATCTAAGGACTCGTGGTCTCCCAGGCTGTGGGTGTCCTCCACCAGAGCAGCTCTCCGCGATCCCTTGCTCTTGTTCAGTTGCCCGTGCCTGGAGGAGCCAGCCCGTGTGAGCAGCGGGGCCATGAGTGGGACCTCTGCCCCCCGAAACAGCAACCACCGCCGCCCGACTGCTGTGGGCAGCAGCGCTGCCCTGCTCGCCCCTCCGCCGGCAGCTCGCAGAGCCCACGGTCCCGTTGCTGCGGTGGCACCCACAGCTTCCAGGCAGCAGCCCCAGCCCCGACCCCCTCCCTTCCCACCGCAGGTGCTGAGCCCGCCCGGCTGGGGAAGGCTGAGCCTCACGCGTGGCGCCAGGACCCCCAGCTCTTGGCACTTACTCGTCCAGTCGCTGATGTTCCCCGCAGAGGCTGCGTAGGGCCCTGCCACGGACACCACTTCCAGCAGGTATTTGTGTCCTGGAGCCAGGCCAGAAAAGGTGAATTTGCTGCTGCCTTTCCCGACAGACACGTTGGCTGCCACAGTACCTGACCCCGAGTGGTAGAGGAGGAGCCTGTAACTGTCTTGTCCCTGGGGTTCAGCTCGCCAGGAGACGCTCAGCCTGTTGGGATACCCCTGGTTCGTCATGTATACATTACGGGGTGCCAGGGGGTCTGCAGAGACAGGACAGGAGATGTCAGTGAAGGCTCTGTGGACATTGCCTGGTATCTGGGCGCTGTCCTCTGAAGGGATGCACCACACGGGACAGGGCACTTTGTCTCGGCTGCATCCACCAGCCTGGAGGCAGCTGAAAGCAGCTTCTGCAAGCTTCAAGCGGTGCTTATCTGAGCAGGGCCAGCCCTGTCCCAGCCGGAGCGAGACACCCAGGGATGGGAGAGGGGGGAGCACCAGGGAGGGGACGGTGCATGGCCCTGGCCCTGGCGGCTGCTCCCCGCTCTGAAGCGGAGCCCCGGGAGCTGCAGCTGATCCAATCCAGGCTGACGGAGCTGATGGTGAGGGTGGGCAGAGCCCCACTCAGTGCCATGGCACTGACGTGCCTTTGGGTTCAGGCAGGACTCGGGGTCTGCCACGAAGGTCGCGGGGCCGTGCCGTTTGCCATGAGCCTTCGTGGGGGCCCGGCGAGGCAGGCATCGCCCTCAAACCAGGGTACTCACACGTCCAGTTGCTGACATTCCCTGCAGGTGTCCGGTAGGGCCCTGCCATGGATGCCACCTCCAGCACATACTTGCTTCCTGGGGCCAGTCCCGTGAAGGTGAAGTTGTGGGTGTCTCCCCTCAGCAAGCGCACCGTGGCCGGGGGCAGCGGGCCTGGGGAGTCACCAGACCTGATGTTAGGGGCTGGAGACTGCGCAGAAGGAAACACGCCTGGCGGGATGCTGTGCAGCAGAACAGATGCTCCCTGAGGGCTGAGGCACGAAAGCCCGCTCTGGCGCACTCCTCCTCACTGTCCTCTTTTCCGTCCCCATCCCACCTCGCCTTTAAGGCTGCTCACCCTTTGTGGTCCCTCTCTGGGGAGTCACCAGACCTGATGTTAGGGGCTGGAGACTGCGCAGAAGGAAACACGCCTGGCGGGATGCTGTGCAGCAGAACAGATGCTCCCTGAGGGCTGAGGCACGAAAGCCCGCTCTGGCGCACTCCTCCTCACTGTCCTCTTTTCCGTCCCCATCCCACCTCGCCTTTAAGGCTGCTCACCCTTTGTGGTCCCTCTCATGCCAACCCTTTTTCATCCAGGCCACCCTCACCCGCATAGCCCAGCTGGAGAGCTCTGCATGCACACACGTCCTCCAGCACCCAGGGGTGCAGCTGCCTGGGCAGAGCTTGGCACAGCCTCTGCACTCTGTCCAGCCCTAAAATCTTTCTGGGTGGGGAGAAGTGCTGGACCCGTTCTCCTGGGAGGACTGCGGATCAGCATCCTCTACTACACTGATTCATGGACCTTTGTGGCAACATCATCCCTACCTGCTGGAGGAGCCTCAGCGAGGGTGTGAGTGCTGCTGTGTACGGGGGGGTGGGGCTGCACGGGCAGAGGGGTGTCCCCACGTGGGGACAGCTGGGGAACCCTGCATGTCACCAGCATGTACTCATGCACGTCTGCAGTTGGACATCCATGTGCCCGTGAGGGTAGCAGTGTGCCCATGCACGAACTTCTGCATGCTGCAGCCATGCACATGTGCATGCACGGGACCCCTGCAACCCCCCCAGCCCTCCTCAGGGCTGCCCAGTGGTGAAAAATCTCCCACCCCCCTGCAGAGGATGCTCCTCCGGGCACTCACGTGTCCAGCCACTGATGTTGGGCGCTGCTGCCTGGTACGGTCCAGCCGTGGCACTGGCCTCCAGGGAGTACTCGTATCCTGGGGCCAGGCCCATGAAGGTGAAGTTGTGGGTGTCTCTCCCAAGTGAGGCCGTAGCTGTCACGGTGCCCAGCCGCCTGTGGTACAGGGTCAGCACATAGCCATCTTGCTCCCCGGCTGCGGCCCCCCAGGACGCGCTCAGCCTGTCGGGGTGCCCCGTGCTCAGCCAGTGCACGGCGGCTGGGGGCAATGGGCCTGGGGAGGAAACAGGAGTCACTGCCAGGGCCACGTTCAGGCTGAGATGCTCCACGTCTGTGCCAAGCCTGTGCTGCAGGAGGTGGGTCAGCCCTGCAAGGTCCGGAGGGCTGGCTTTGCCCTTGACTCCAGGGATTGCCCCCTTCCTGGCACTGTGGATGGCTGTGGACTGCTCCCCAGGACATGGGTGGCCAGGCCATGGGGTCACGCACCGACTCCCCATGCTACATCCAGCAGGGCATGAGCACTAAGTGCTTGCCCGGGTGAGAGAGGAAGGCAGGACCTGGCCGCACCAGGAAGGGGGAGACCTGGTGGAGGACACCAGGCTGCCAGGAGAGCGTCACACTCACGTGTGCAGTGGGTGAGGTTGGGGGTGCTGGTGTGGAAGG